AAATGGGAGGTGACAGGCAGGACAGTGGCACATTGGTGGTCGAGAGATGAAGTACTGGTGTGTGTCTAAACCACAGAGCCAGGGAATGCTGGAGAGACAGTACTGTGGGCAGGGCACTTGCCTTGCGTGCAGCTGACTCAGGTCCAGGCCCCAGTGCCCCAGATAGTCCCCCAAGCCCCGCCAGAAGTGATCCCTGAGTGCAGAGCCATGAGTAAGCCCTGAGCAGCGCTGGGTGTGGCTCTCCACCTCTCCGGAAACAAAATAAACGGCAGAGCCAGCAACTCTGTAAGCCCGAGACCCAAACTACAGATAGCACCGGGGGTAGGGCGCTTGCCTTGAGTGCACTAACCTGGTCCTGATCCCCGGCATCCCAAACTTTAAAATGTGTCCATTTAAAGAGGCAGGATGGGGCGGGGGCGGGCGGTGAGAGGAAACCTGGGGACATCGGTGGAGGGAAACGATGCTGGAGGTGGCATCAGTGTCCTGAACATTGCAGACCTGAAATGCCTGAAACGCTGTCAGGAACAATTTTGCAAATCACGGTATCTAAAAACAAAAAAGGGGCTGGAGAGATAGCACAGCAGGTAGGGCGTTTGCCTTGCACGCGGCCGACCCGGGTTCGATTCCCAGCATCCCATATGGTCCCCTGAGCACCGCCAGGAGTAACTCCTGAGCACAGAGCCAGGAGTAACCCCCCGTGCATCGCCGGGTGTGACCCCAAAAAGCACTGTAGCACTGTCCTCCCGTTGTTCATCGATTTGCTCAAGCGGGCCCAGTAACATTGTGAGACTTGTTACTGTGTTTGGCATATCGAATACGTCACGGGGAGCTTGCCAGGCTTTGCCGTGAGGGCGAGATACTCTCGGTAGCTTGCCGGGCTCTCCAAAAAAGCAAAAAAAAGCCCAAAAAAACAAAAAAACAATCAACTGAATAATAACAACTACCACCCCCTGAGCTGATGTGCAAGTAGGCACCCCAGGGCCCCCACCTCGGCTCCTTCTGCGTCCTGCTGTGAGTCGGGTTCTCAGACTCTCAGACCGGCAGCTCTCCCTGGCCACCCGCTTTCTCAGCTTCTGGCCACCTGCAGGGACCTCTCAAAGGACGACAGAGGACCCACTGTGTCAGCCTTCCTGCCTGCCAATGAGAGTGAGCATTGTCTGCTGGCACCCGAGCCCAGAGCTCTCCGAGGAGACATTGGTCCTGGCGGGGCACGGTCCTTGTGGACCTCTGCTTGCAACACCCCCAGCTCACACGGCCCCGGATCTGAGGGGACTTCCCAGCCTCTGGGTCGCAGGAGCAGCAAGACTCAGGGTGGGAGGCTCTTGCCTTATCATCTGGGACATCTCCCCAAGCCCCTGCCACTGACACAGGTTGCAGTCCCTGGAAATTCCTGTGGGTCTGGGAACAGGAAGCCCAACCCTGTCCCCCCAAGGTCGCACATGAGGCCACTTTGGTAGAGTATAGCTGCCCACCCCTTCCTCAGCGGACTTTGTGATGGTTTTGGGGTGCTAGGGATGAAACCCAGGCCTCATCTGAGCGAAGAAGCATGAGCAATACCATTGAGCTACACGGTCTCCTATTGATAACCTTTCTTGGGTGTGAGATCTGGGGGGAAGCGGGGGGGGGGGGGGGGGTTGACAAGGGGACAAGGGTGTTGGTCCCACCCCCTGCAACTGGAGGCGGAAGCTGTTCAGGACAATGAAACCCCTCCCTCCACTGTGATTGGCTCAGGCAGAGACACGTGACTCAAATCAGGCCAATGAGCGCCTGCCCTGGGCTTAGCCACAACTCAGTCCTGCCATTGACCTTGCTGGGATTGACTCAGGTAGAGACACACGACTCAGTTCAGGCCAATGAGCGCCTGCTCTGGGTTTAACCACAACTCTTGCACTTGTCACCGAACTTGCTGAGCTGGTCCAATGGCCAGTCTCCACTCAATGGAAAAGAGTTCAGCAGTGAGTCATGTAAGCCCTGGGGTTCGAACTGCCACGCCTTGTCAGAACCACTGCTGGACTTTCCAGTTGAATGAGCAAACAATTATTTTAGCCATCAACCTTTCTTTGGTGTTTGGGCAAAACCCGGCGTTGCTCAGGGCTTACTACTAGCTTTGAGTTCAGGGGTCACTCCTGGTAGGGCTCAGGGGACCACATGGGATGTCAGAGATCGAACCTCACCAGCTGCGTGCAAGACAAGCACCTCCCCCTGTATTATCTTCCCGATTTTTTTAACTTTTCCCTGTTCGACTTGAGTCGTGTGTGTGTGTGTGTGTGTGTGTGTGTGTGTGTGTGTGTACACGCGCGCACACGCGCTCAGGGCTTACTCCTGATTCTGCATTTTGGGATGACTCCTGGTGAGATGAGGAAACATATAGTTGCCAGGAATTGAACCTGGGTGGACCACATACAAGTCATGCGGTCAAGTGTAAGTCAAGTGCCTTACCCATCATACTGTTGCTTTGGTCTCACTTAAGTCACAATTAAGGGCTTTAATCTCCCTTTTGCATTCCTTAGTCACAGATCAAGTCTAGTGGTAGAAAATTCTAAATAACCTTTCCCTCTCTTCACCCACAATACCCTTTGATCGCATTTTATTTTTTTTGCTTTTTGGGTCACACCCGGCTTTGCACAGGGGTTACTCCTGGCTCATGCACTCAGGAATTACTCCTGGCGGTGCTCAGGGGACCCTATGGGATGCTGGGAATTGAACCCGGGTCAGCCGCGTGCAAGGCAAACGCCCTACCCACTGTGCTATCGCCCCAGCCCCTGATCGCATTTTTTAATTGAGAATTGGGATGGAGCTCAGTGATAGAGCATTTGCTTCACAATTATGATGTCCTGGGCTCTATCCCCGGCAGCAGAAATGATAAAATATATCTGGGCCCTGGGAGATAATACAGCATGCAGGGTGCTCACCTAGCACGCAGCTGACCTAAATTTCATTTCCCGGCATGCCACTCCCCTGGGCCCAACCACCAGGAATGATCCCTGAACAGTCAGAAGTGAGCCCTCAACACAGCTGGGTGTGGTTTCCTCAAAAAAATAAATACAGTATTTATCTGTAGTTGTACTAAAGAGACTTGTAATTGATTCTCAGGGGTTACTCCGGGCTTTGTGCTCAAGAATTGTAACTGGCGGTTACAATTGTAGCTTGGGGCTTGGGGGACCATATGGGATGTTGGGGATCAAACCCTGGTCGGCTCTGTGCGAGGCAAACACCCTACCCGCTCTGGTCCAACTTTTGCTTTTTTTTTTTGTTTTTTGCTTTTTGGGTCACACCCCGCAATGCACAGGGGTTACTCCTGGCTCTGCACTCAGGAATCACCGCTGGCGGTGCTCAGGGGACCCTATGGGATGCTGGGAATTGAACCCGGGTCCGCCGCGTGCAAGGCAAACGCCCTACCTGCTGTGCTATCGCTCCAGCCCCAACTTTTGTCATTTTTGATCAACAGGCTGACTCCATCCTCGCCCCAATCTTGCAGAAACTCGCCCCAGCCGGCTGCGAAAATCCCTGTCGGGTTCACCGGTGAATTCCAGCGCCTGCTGCCGTGTCATTATTTGTTTAAGGAACAAATAAACAAGACACTCATTTGTGTAAGACACCCAGTATCTCCCCCCCTGCTTCCCGCCCATCAATTTCTAGCAAAGCCCCTTTCCCCACCTCACTCCCATCCCCCCTTGCCTATTCCTGTTTAGCCAAACTGCTTTCCAACCCCTCACCCATCCACCCCGTTTGTTCCTGCCTCAGGGCCTTGGCACTTGCTCTCCCTGCAGGAGGCCTCCTTCCTCAGTTGGCTCTAAGCTCTTCCTGAGCTCGCCACTAAGTATCACCTCCTCAGAGAAGCCCTCCCGGACCACCCCGAGGAGTGGCCGCTTGCTGCTTTCCACGTGGCTCCGTCCCATTTGATTTTCTTTACAAATCACCACCTGGATGCTTGATGTGCATTTATTTGTTTATTGTCCCCAGAAGGTCAACTCTGCCAGGGAAAATCCTCATTTGTTTGTTCATTGCTGCACCCCAATGTCCAGGCTGGGGCCTGGCCAACACCAGGGACCAAGAAACAGTTGCCGAAGGAACTCCTAAATCGAGCACGGCCTTCGTTACGGCTCCAGCATCATCATCTCTGCCTGCTGGGTGTCTCCAAGACGTGGGCCCCTCCGGAAGTGTGTGGAGCGGATTCCTGGGGGGCTGGTCTCGGGCAACAGAGCCCCCATCCTGGGGGTGGGGCTGGGGGACGGGGGGTGCGGGGCGGGGCGGGGCCTGCTCTCCACCAGGCTGCAAATCCTCCCGCCACCTCCCGAACAGGAAACGCCAGGCAGCCGGTTGAAGCAGACTCTTGCTGCTTTGTTATAAATATATTATGTACATCCAAAACATGACATTAAAATATTACTCCGTTACAGAAAAGATATTAAGGCTTTCTATTATTTACATTTAAGCAAGCACCTTTAAAAAAAAAAACAACCAAAACAACAACATAAAAAAAGCGCCCGACTTGCTTCTCCAGACTACGCCTGGAGCCAGGTGTGTCTCTTGAAAAATGACCAGGACCCTCAGCGGGGGGCGGTGGCCAGAGGCGGTCCCCTGACCGGAAGCATCGGACGCGGGGCGAGGTGTGGATGGGGAGCGGGGCCTGTCCTCAGAGCCTGGAGGTCAGGCTAGGCTGAAGAATGGGGGCAGGGGTGGTCAGGGGTGGTCTGCCCAGCTAGAGGGGCAGTTTGCAGGGCTTCTGGAGATCCTCAGGGAAGCCCTAGACTAACCGTGGCCAGGCGCGGAAGGACGAGACCGACTCTGACCCCAACCCCAGCACCTCTGCCGAGAGACGGCGCGGTCAGGAGTGAGAAGTGGGGGCTCCTCCTCTTCCCTGGAGTGTGGCCAGCAGGCGGGGCTAGGGGGAGAGAGGCGGGTCCTGTTTCTGTGGTCAGGCTTGGCAGACAGAGGGGGCTCAGGTGGCTGGGGAGGGGTCAAAGGAAGAAAATGATCTTTTTTTTTCAAAAGAAAAAAAAAAAAGGACATGAAAAATCAGTGGCTCAAGTATTCTGTGTCACGTGTGGGCTGGGGGTGCCCGGGCCCGGCCCAGGGGTGGCCTCTCCTCGAGAGGTCAGTGTGACGAGGCTGGGATTTGGCAGATGGCTTTGGTTCAGGGTCGGGGGGACGGGGGGGCGCGGGGGAGGCGGAGATCCTGGGGAAGGTTGGCGAAGACGCGGCGGCTCGGAGCGGCTACTTGACCTTCTGAGCCCATTTCATGTCGTCGGCCCGGGGCTTCTCGCCCGTCAGGGCCTGGATGATGTCCTCCAGACGGCGCCAGAAGCCTAGCCTCTCCAGAGGGTAGTTGAGCCAGCCTGCAGTGGGGACAGGGGGTGCAAGGCTGGGCGGGGGGGAGCAAGCGGGGCCCCGTGGCGGCCGGGAGCCAGTCTGCAGATGGAAGGGACCGGGGCTGCCCCCGAGGACAGAGGATCCCTACCCCTGGGCTCGGGGACCCCCCTCATGTGTCTTCACCCCTCACTCAGTCACCTTTTGGGCTGGGGGCCACCCCTGGCAGTGCTCCGGGCTGACTCCTGGCTTGGTACTCAGGGATCACGCCTGGTGGAGCTCAGGGACTGAACCTGGCTCGGCCGCATGCAAGGCAAGTGCCCTCCCCACCGCATTCCCGCTCCGGCCCTCGGCTTCTTATTCAACTTGCCTTGTTGGGGATCAAAGCCAACAAGGTTTGGGGTTTCTTTTTTTTTTGCTTTTTGGGTCACACCTGGCGGTGCACAGGGGTACTCCTGGCTCATGCATTCAGGAATTACTCCTGGGAGTGCTTGGGGGACCCTCTGGGATGCTGGGGATCGAACCTGGATCGGCTGTGTGCAAGGCAAACGCCCTCCCTGCTGTCCTATTGCTCCAGCCCGCATCTTCTTTTGCTTTTTGGGTCACACCCGGTGATGCTCAGGGGTTCCTCCTGGCTCCACACTCAGGAATTACTCCTGGCGGTGCTCAGGGGACCCTATGGGATGCTGGGAATTGAACCCAGGTGTGCCGCGTGCAAGGCAAACCCCCCCGCCCCGCATCTATTTCTGCCTGCACCGTGCACCATTGCAGTGGTGGAATGTGACTGGCAGAAGGACTGACAGCGGTGCTCTAGGCTCAGAGCGGGGGTGCTGCCTGGGGGGCTATGCTCTCCGTGGCGCCTGCTGCTCGGACCCCAGTGGGCACTCAGAGCCTATCCCGGGCGGGCGAGGCTGGTGCCGTGGGGAAGGCTGGGGCGGGTCCCCTTCCCCACACACCTGTGGTGATGCAGAAGTAGGTCTCGTGTGGGGAGACATGGTGGATGCGATGGTGTTTCCGAGGCAGGATGATGTGCCAGTCCTGCAGGAGGGTGACCCAGCGCGGCAGCCCGAAGTACGTGTGGGACCACTTGTGGATCTGGTTGGTGAAGGTGCCGAAGATGATCAGGCAGAAGACGAAGCACTCCCAGGGGTACAGCTGCTCCAGCGCTTCTGCATGGGGGGGGGGGGCAAAGAGGGGAGGGTCCACACGGCTGTCACATGGGGCGGGGGGGGCCTCGCCGCTCAGTTCCGGGCAGTGCCCCTCCCACCCTCAGGGCCCTGGCTGCAACCCCCCTTCTGTTCAGGGGAGGGATGACCCGGAAGTGACGGTGAAGGAGCCGGCTCTGGGGTCAAGCTGGGGTTCACATACGTGGAGCTGGCCCGATGTGGGTCAGCCTCCCCGCAGCTCAACTTCCTCATGAGACGGGACTGCGTCCTGGTTCCCGAAAACAACCTGAGTCAGGGGTGCCCCAGGCCTGTGGTTTCCGGCGGGGGGCAAGGCAGGACAGCAGGGGCCCAGGGGGCAGGTCTCCGGGAACAACAGTGGGGGGAGCAAGCAGAGCAGAGCCCTGGGCCTGAAGGGCCCCACTGAGCGAGGCCCACCCCCCTTGTTTCTTTTGCTTTTTGGGTCACATCCAGCGAGGCACAGGGATTACTCCTGGTTCATGCACTCAGAACCTACTCCTGGCAGTGCTCAGGGGACCCTATGGGATGCTGGGAATCGAACCCGGGTCGGCCACGTGCAAGGCAAACGCCCTCCCCGCTGTGCTATGGCTCCAGCCCCGTGAGGACCCTTCTGAGGATTTGCCTCCCTGGCTTTTCCCCGGACACTTCTCAGGGGGAGCTGGGGACTATGGCCAGCCGAGGGGCAGCTGGGAGCTGTCACAGCCCCCCTCACCGGATAGTGACCTCCCACCTGCCACGGCGGGGTGGGGGGCACAGGGCGAGGAGGCAGCAGCTAGAGCGGGACCAGCACCCGGGACTCATCCCCACCCACTGCTGCTGGGTGAGGAGTAACCGGTGCTGCTTGGGGGGGGGGGGGGGCACGTTGGCTTCTGTGAACAGCCGGAACCGTCTGGACTCGGGCGGGTCTGAGGCCACGCTCGACACTTTCCCACCAGCCAGGGCAGCAAAGCGACACGCCCCACGTGCCTGGCAGAACTGCTCGCGTGTCAGGCAGGCGGGGTCCAGTCAGTGGGGAGTCCTGGGCGGGGCGGGGACACCCTGACTCCGCTCTGGGCTCTGGGCCTGTGGCGGCCGGGATGGGGATCCAGGCTGGCTAGGCCGGACGGGGCATGAGAAGCGGGAAGCGCAGGTGCGGCCACCGACACCCAATTCCACAGACAACTTCACTTGTGGGAACTGAAGCCAGGGCCTCACACGCGTGACATAGCTGTGACACTGAGCACGGCCTTGCCAGCAGTGACTAAGCGACTAAGCCAGGAGGTACACACACACACACACACACACACACACACACACACACACACATACACTGTCTATACTGAGCACAGCCCTGCCTGCAGTGACTAAGCAAGGACACACACACACACACAGAGTCACAAATACAGATTCATACCTGCACATTCCCACGTACTCACATGCACACACACACACACACATATGCACGCTTCCTTATTCACACCCCCCACCCCCCATGCCGCCGTCAAGCCCAAGCCGGCTGGTGCTCACCTGTGGGCTGGGTGCGGAACTTGTAGGCCATGTTCAGCAGTGGGACCAGCGTCACCAGGCAGTTGTCCCCATTGGTCTCGATGAAGTCGTGCCGGGTGATGGCCGTGGGGTCGATGTGATGCTCCCGGAAGGGCCTGATGAACGCCTGGGGGGGCGCGGGGTAGGGGGGGGGCAGTCAGCAGCAGGGACCTCCAGCCGGCCCCATCGGGCGGAAGCGCTCACGGGAACGGACCTCGGCTCCCTCCCAGGGTGCGAGGCCCCTGGGCGCTCGGGAAGGGCAGTTCCGCGAAGGGCGGACCCGTCATCCCCCGCTGGGGTGGGCTCAGGGGCAAGAGCACTGGCCTCACGGGAGTCCCCGGCACCAAGTACACACTGGGACAATCTGCATCGCAAGCATCCTGGGAGCCAGGGACAGAACCCAGGGGACAAGCACGCACATGCCCGGCATGCCACAGCACGCTGCCCACCGCCCCGCCCCGCCCCGCCCCCGGGGACCGCCAGGTGTAGGAAGGGGTGGGGGGTGGGGGGACGCGAGAAATGAATGGGAACCCGTGAGCCCGGCCTGGCCAATCAGAACACCAGCCCGCCCGCTTCACAGTGATTGGCTGAGGGATGGCCACGTGACCCGAGCGGGCCAATGGGGAAGAGCCCCTGCCCTACTGGCCGTAAGCTGGACTCCTGGGAAAGGCGGGTCCTCTCTCCCTGCGGGTACTGGGCTGCGACCACCTTGGGCATCACCCCCAGGTGACAACCCGCCTACAGAGAGTGCCAGTGACAGGGGAAAGTGGAGACGGCAGGGAGAGAGATGGGGTCTGAAGGAGAGAACGGATTGGAGCCTTCTGCGCCTGCATCTGGCTCTCTTTCTGGCATCTTCGGGGACAGGGGTAGGTGGCTTTTATCTGGCCCAGCTGATCTGCATGAGGTTCCCTGTTGCCAACACAAAAGTCGGACGCACAGCCAAGGTTCGTTCAAGGTGCCGGAGCAAATGTCCAGCGGGTAGGGTGTTTGCCTTGCATGCGGCACACCCCGAGTTCAATCCCTGGCATCCCATAGGGTGCCCCACGCACGGCCAGGAGTGATTCCTGAGTGCAGAGCCAGGAGTAACCCCTGAGCATCGCTGGATGTGACCCAAAAAACCAAAACAAATTTTAAAAAGGTTCGTTTAAGTTAGGAAATGGTGAGGTGCACGGGACAGGACATGGCCCCCAGACTCCAGGGGTCCAGGGAGGGTGACACAGATCCAGGGCCTCTCCGTCCTGCGCCTGGTGCCCTGGCATCCAGTGGCAAAGAGATGTGGGGGTCAGAGAGGGGCGGGGATGGCGGCGGCCGGTCAGCATACGCACCTTCCCCACGACGGGCAGCTCCACAGACCCCCAGGTATCGGCCCCCCAGTGGACCAGGCCGGACAGGAAGTCAGCAATGAGAGCCCCTGCAACTGTGAGAAAGAGGAGGTGAGCAGGAGGGGGCCCCAGGGCACGCCCCTCACCCCCCTGCCAGGAGCCACACAGTTCTTCCGCCCTGGCTGTTTGGTCCCCGAGTGGTGGTATGCCCCTTCCCTGCGTGGAGTGGGCCCCCGTGACGCAGGCTGCTGGCCTTTGTGGTCCCCGGACCCTCTCTGTCCAGGGGCCTGCGGGTGTCTGGGTACAGGGAGGTGGATCTAGGCATGCCCAGGCACCCGCGTGAGCGCTCTGCGGGCCCATCACCGATGCTGGGGGCAGGATCACAGAAGCCCTGGGCTTCTCGTGGTGTGTGTTTGCTCTAGTGGTACTGAGACGTCACTCCAGCTCAGAGCTCAGGGGGTGTCTGGGGGACCACAGGGCAGGGCTCGAACCCAAGCCTCCCTCATGCAAAGCCTGTGCTTCACCCTCTGATGTGTCCCTGGGGCCTTCAACCTAGCTCTCTCCCACTCTGCAGGGACCGCAGGCTACCAGCCTTCTTCCCACCCACTGTCTCTGTTCTCAGTTTGTTCGCCAGCAGGGGTGGGGGGTCTCCCTCCAGGACCTACTTCACTCGCCAGTTCAGCCGCCAGACTGGGGGCTCCAATCCCAGCGATGACTGCCCAGCTATGTGACATCAGGCGTGTTGCGTAACCTCCCTGTGCCCTTGTTTCCTCTTGCGAGACGGGCATGACAATGGTAAAACATCGCCGCGGCCACTCAGGAGCACTTTTCCACGCCACAGAGTGTGCCTGACATGCCCGATCTCAAGGGCTTCGAGCCCTGCTCTGAGCCGAGATCACTCTTACGCTCACTCGAGAGAAGTGGGAGTGAGGCTTGGAGAGCGGAAGGAACAAGCCGACAGGGGCAGAGGTCAAGAGCTGGGCTCTTAGCCCGCCCGGGGTTAAGGATCCAGGGGCCAGAGCGATAGCATGGTGGGGAGGGTGCTGCCCTTGCACTCGGCCGACCCGAGTTCAATCCCCGACACCCCATCGGGTCCCCTGAGTCCGGCCAGGAGTGATCTCTGACAGCAGAGCCAGGGGGGGAGGGGGGGGAAGAGGCCTGAGCACTGCTGGGTGTGGCCCAGAAACAAACGAAACCCAAGTTCAATACCGCAGGATACACGGGGAAACCGAGGCAGAGCGGCCCTCAACCTGTTCTCTTCACCCTTCCCCCCCACCCCCGCCCCCACAGTGCCTCAGCCCCTGGCCCCTTCCCCCCGCGGTTCCCCTGCCTGGTGTGTTCTTCCCCGTCCCTCTCCCCTTCCGCTCAGAAGCCCTTTGCAGACTCCAGGGCCAGCACTGCAGCCCGTGGGGGCGGGCAGAGACGGGCATCTCGGTCTTCAGCTCTGCAGCTGCTGCCGAGTGCATCCGGGCACAGCCCTTGGCACCGAGCTGGGCGCAGAGATGCCCTCCAGACCTATCGCTATTGATTTTTATTATTTGGGTTGGAGTCCACACTTGGCAGCGCTCGGGGCTGACTCCTGGCTCCCTACTCAGGATCACTACTGGCGGGTGCAGGAGACCATCTGGGGTGTCGGGGACTGACCCCGATTGGTTACGTGCATGGCAAGCGTCCTACCCACTGGGCTACCCGGCCCCCAGACGTACTACTACGACGATTGCTGTGACTGATCTTTTTTCCTCTGTGCAACATTCAGGGCTCTTCTGGGCGCTCAGCTGGGAAGGCAGGCTGACACGCACCCACGCAGCCCACGGGCCCTGGGGCCAAGCCCCAGGGGCCGCTGTAAGGCAGGAGGAAGAGTGGGCGGTTCCCCGCTGAGCAGGCCAGCTACTGGGCTGAGTGACCTCCGACTCAGCTTCTCAGTGGCTGTTTGCTGGGCTGCTCTGAGGGCCTGGGGGCACGGGGAGTAAACCAGCATCAAGGACACCAAGTTCCCTGCCTGGGCCCGGGCCATGGGGTAGAAACACCTTTGCAGGTGTCTGGGCAGCTCCTCACCCGCCAGGAGGACATGGGTGGGGGAGGGGAGGGCGGAGCATCTGGCCGTGTGGGAGGGCGGGTACCGTCGCCCAGCACGGGGTGGAGTAAGGAGGTGCCACTCGTCTTCCTCGGGGTACCCCATCCCTTGGGCAAAGGTCAGTCAAGCCCCCCAGCTCTCCAGCTAAAGCCCCACTGCTCTGGACAGATACTTTCTGTCACACCTCTTGGCTTTCTTTTCTTCTCTCTTTTTTTTTGGGGGGGGGGGTGGCACACCCTGGGATGCTCAGGGGACCGTGAGTTGTGGGGGGTGGAGACCCAGCTCCCATGCCAAAGTCTGGGTTCGGGTTAGCGTTAGGGTTGTGTGGGTCTCAGCCCTCCCCGCCATCTCCCTGGGCCTCCTGCCGGCTGTTTCGATCGTGGTCCTGGTCACCATCAGAAGCAGCCTCATGTATGACCTCCCGGGGGTCAGAGAAGTTGAACAACCGAGCCGCAGCCCCGGGGGAAGTGGTAGGCAGGAGACAGAAGAGATGCAGCTGCCCTCCTGAACCCTTGGGGCTGGAGCGATAGTCCAGTGGGTAGGATGCCGCCTTGCACGGGACGGACCTGGGTTCGATCCCTGGCATCCCATAGGGTCCATCGAGTCCCGCCGGGAGTGATCCCTGAGTGCAGAGCCAGGAGTAACCCCTGAGCTCTGCTGAGTGTGACCCCAAACCCAGACCAAACCAGACCAAACATCCAAACGGCCATCTTTCCACACCCAGAAACTACAGGGGCATTAATGGAGCGCCTGCTGCATGCTCCAGGGGGCTGTCTGTACCCATAAGCCCAGATGCAGCTAGAGTGACAGTTGGGGTCAGCTATTACTACTCTTGCTGTGTGACCTCGGGCACGCCTGCATTTTCCCCTGCAGTGGCAGGGGCCACTGCAGAGCCCCTAGATGCTCTGGTCCCCACCATGCCTTGAGCTGTGACCCTCATTTATAAGCCGCCCCGACATGACCTGGGAACCTCCTTTCCCTCCTCCCAGCCCCTCCACCACCAGCACGCCCCCCCACCTAGACAGAAACAGTCCCAGGGTGTGTGCTCGGCCCTGAGACTGTGAGGGGTGCACACAGCGGGGCCCTCACCCGCAGAGGTGCTGGGGTGCACACAGCACCAGACATTCCACTGGGAGCCCGGGCATCCTGGGGCGAACGTGTCAGCTCAGCTCTTGGCTTATTGACCCCACTTGACTTTCTCAGAAGGCTCCTGGTTACCGGGGCCTGGGCTGGCACCTGATGGCTGGCTCTCCTCCTTTAATCCCTGAACTCTCCCGGGGGCCAATCTCAACGGGGTTCCCTATCTTATCTCCTTAATGGCTCTGAGCATTTAATCCTTACAGCTGACTACAACCACCCTAATAAAACTACTAGAAAAACAATATTGGGGACCGGTGAGCTGCTGAGCTGGGCTGGGCTGGAGCCCGGCAGCTGGGTGTTGACACGGCATGTCCATGTCCGACCACAGCCAGGGCGGATGCCCCGAAGGCTAAAGGACGTGAATTACTCACGCACGTGCCTGGGGCTGGGCTGGGGCCGGGCTGGGGCCTGGCGTCATAGCACCTTCCTTAGAATGCGGAGGCCAGGGGGCAGTCAGCACCAGACCCCAGGGCTCAGTCACAACTGCATTAACGCCAGGACCCTCAGAGCACTCCGACCCAACACCCAATTGAAGAAAAACACCAGAGGGGCTGGAGCCATAGCACAGTGGGGAGGGCGTTTACCTTGGGCTGACCTGGGTTCAATCCCCAGCATCCCACTTGGTCCCCCGAGCATCACCAGGAGTAATTCCTGAGAGCATGAGCCAGGAGGAACCTCACCGGGTGTGACCCCCCCACCAAAAAAAAAAAAGAAAAAACACCAGAGAGAGGAAGGCACCAGGGACCCTGGGCCAGAAGGAGGAAGTTCAGCCAAGGTCAAAGGAATGGGAACTGAAGCCAAAGAATGTATCCATCCACCCCTTCATTGTAACCATCCCCAAACAACCAGACAAAAGATGTTAACCACCAGGATTGTAGCACCACAATCGAGACGTTGGGGAGGTCCGGAGACTAGAGGCTCTCGGCTGCATGCTAGGATTCCCCCAAAAAGTTAATACTTGGGGCTGGAGTGATGCTACCAGGAGCAGAGCGTTTGTTTTGCACACGGTGTGCCCGGGTTTGACCCTCGGCATCCGAGATGGTCCCCTGGTACTGTCAGGAGTGATGCCAGAGTACAGAACCAGGAGTGATCCCCGAACACCACTGGGTGTGGCCCAAATACCCCCACCCGAGCCAAAAAAAGTGGGAGCTGGGGTGATAACACAGCAGGTAGGGCATCGGCTTTGCAATGGCTGACCCAGGTTTGATCCCTGGGATCTCAAATGGTCCCCAGAGCACTGCCAGGAGTGATCCTGAGCACAGAGCCAGGGGGTAAACCCAGTGTGGCACAAATTTAAAAAAATGGAGCGATAGCACAGCGGGTAGAGCGTTCGCCTTACAAGCGGCCAACATGGCCGACCCGAGTTCGATTCCTCCGCCCCTCTTGGAGAGCCCGGCAAGCTACCGAGAGTATTCGATATGCCAGACACAGTAACAACAAAGTCTCCAATGGAGACGTTACTGGGCCCGCTTGAGCAAAAAATAAAATAAAATAAAAAAATAAAAAGTTAACAGTTGAAGAAATCAGAGGTTGGGGTAGATGGGAACTCTTTGTACTTTCTTTGTAAATTGAAAACAGGGAGAACAAAGGCCTATTTGACGAAACTCTCATTTCTCCTCACAAGGAGGAATTGGGTGCGAAAGGGCTGGGTGCCTGGGTCGGCAGGGTGGGGCAGCGGCACGGTGCCAAGAAGGGCCCCCTTCCTGCCAAGCTGGGCCCTGGCATCCAGGCCTGGGACGGGGGCTGTCTGCGGCGCTTCCTACCCCCTGACGCTCTATCAGGGACACAGGCTGGAGCAGGCGGAGGGCCGGGCAAGGCACCGTGGGGCAGAGACAGCGCCCGCCAAGTGCAGTTGGAGTCTGCAGTCCAGCTGACGCCGTGTGCCCAGGAGACGGCTCCGTGAAGCGGCAGCTCTGGCACTAGGCCAGGCCGGTGCCACTCACCCGCGGCCCTGCTTCCGGGGTCCCCTGGGTCACAGCGTGCAGGGTCTCTGGTGCAGAGCCAGGGGGGTAAGAGCAACAATGAAGCAGAGCTGGGGCTGGAGGGATGATAGCACAGCGGGGAGGGTGTTTGCCTTGCACGCGGCCGACCCGAGTTCGATTCCCAGCAACCCATAGGGTCCCCCGAGCACCGCCAGGAGTAATTCCTGAGTGCAGAGCCAGGAGTAAAACTGAGCATCGCCGGGTGTGACCCAAAAAGCAAAATAATAATAATAGTAATCATCATTATCATCATCCTAATAATAAAGTCGGGCTGGCGCTGGGGCTCAGGGTCCTGCATGGGTGAGGCTTGAGTTCTAGTCCTGACACCACCCAAGAAAGAAAAAGTGTGTGATGCTGGCCGGCATGGGTGGACGCACGACCGCCACGTCTGGTGATCACAGTCTCTGCAACGACCCCCGGGAGAGAGGGCGGAAATGGAAGTCAGCATGCTGCCCGCACGAGCCCGTGCACACGTGTGCACGCAGCCCAGAGCCGCTCTGCTCACTGGGGGGGGGGGGGGGGGGCACACCCTGTGGTGCTCAGGCCTGAACCCCGGTGAGTTGTGTGCAAGGCGGGGTGCCCTGCCTGCTGTCCTATGGCTGGGGCCTCAGTTCTTCTCTTTTTTTTTTTTTTTTTTGCTTTTTGGGTCACACCCAGAGATGCTCAGGGGTTCCTCCTGGCTCATGCACTCAGAAATCACTCCTGGCGCTGCTTGGGGAAACCATATGGGATGCTGGGAATTGAACCCGGGCCGGCCGCGTGCAAGGCAAACGCCCTCCCCGCTGTGCTATTGCTCTAGTCCCTCAGTTCTCCTCTTAAATATTGCCTCTGAGTCACAGTCTCGTCTTTTGTCCCACAGCTGCTCCAGCCCAGCTTTGGGGTGGCCGGTCGAGGTTGTTTATGAAGAGAAGAAGCTGACCTCGGCCCGCTGACCCCAGGGCATTAGGAGTGGGCGGTGCAGGGACAGCAGCCGGGAGGGACTGTGAGGGACTGTGACTCGAGGCTTCCGCACAGGAGCACAGGGTGGGGGAGGGGCTGGCAGGGGCGGGCACAGAGGGCACAAGGCAGCTCTTTGTGCCCGAGGCAGTGTGGGTGAGCCCAGGATGGTGGGTTCAGCCTTGTTTCTGCCCTGCCGGCCGACGGCACATTGGGACGCTCAGACCCGTGGGGGGCCCTTGAGATACCCCTATGCCGGGGCTTCTCTGTCCTGGGCCCTCTCCAGGCCCGGGACAGACAAAGGCGGGGACAAGTCCGTGCTGTCCCCTGCGGAGGACGGGTCCTGCTGGACAGTCCTGGGCTAAATCTCAACCCCAGTCTGCCACCACCTGAGGCCATGTGACCTCTGACCTCTGCATTCCTCATCCTCCTTCAGGGCCCCAGAGTGGTGTTGTTCTGGCCTCGCTGAAGGCCACACCAACCGTCTCCACCGAACCAAATCGAACCAAATCCGGGGTCCCCCCCTCCACAGTCCTGAATTGCAAGGTGGGCGTGGTGGCTATTCTGGGTGGACCCCCAAGTCTTCCAGAACTTTCCTCCTGGCCAGTCTCCGCCCTCTGAGTCTGACAGAGGCCTGCAGGGCTGCTCAGCTCATGCCCCTCTGGGCTCTGGGGGTCCCCCTGGGGGCAGCTTGGCGGCTCTGAGCTACTTCTCTACCAATCCTCCTCCCAGAAACGCCGCATGCCATGCGGTGTTCTCCCCTTAAGTCTGGCCCCAGCCCTGCCACCTCCGGCCTGGCCTCTTCCCTTCCAGGTAGCTGCTGGCCGGGCCCCTGGCCTCTGCAGCCAACCGGGTACCCACACCCTGCCGCCGTCCCTACTCCCCAGGCCTGCCCGGCCTCCAAAGGCACGGGACTTGCCTCTGGGACGCCTTTCCCAGGGTGTCAGTCCAGCCCCAGGTCTCTCAAATGTCACCTTCCCAGAAGGACCGTCCTCGCCCCAGCCCACCACCTTGGCATCTCCCGTATGCCCGGTCCCCTCCTGCCCTGGTGCCCAGGACCCGCCCGGAACACGGGGAGGCCATCCCCGGCCAGGGGCCCCCTGCAGGTTGGCACAAAGCCCCACTTCCTGCGCGTCCACACGACTCAGGACAGCTACAGCCCAGGATCAGAGACTGAGCAAACAGTGTTATCAGGGGACTCTTATCAGCCCAGGCAAAGGTGTGGGATGGGGAAGCCGGAGCCACCAAGACACCACAGACGCCTGTCACGGGGTACGGGGAGGGAGCAGGAGCAGGACCTGGCTGCCCCGCCCCTACCCCCAACTCTGCAGCTCAGCTTTGGGGGTGGGGTGTGAATGGAAGGCAAATGGGGTCACCTACCTCTGCAGGTGTGAAGGGCCCAGCATGGGGGCAGCCCCCTCCCATGTCTTTCCAGTTTGGAGGACCCGCCCTCTAGCCTCTGCATGGCCTGAGGCTTCACTTATGGATGTGACCAAGCTCTGTCCAGCTGGATGGGCACCCCAGTCCCTGCCCACCCGAGACTCCGCAGGGGAGCCCTGGTGTCCGAGGGGGTCAGAGAGCTGAGCCTAGGGGACCCGCAGCCTAGGAGCCTGGGGTGGGGGTGGGGATGAGGGCAGGGTCAGAGCAGAAGGGCAGGATATTGAGGGTGGACACGGCCAGCTGGGGGCTTCCTGGGAATTGCTGGGTTGGCCTGGCCCCACCTGCCCACGGATACGCAGGCAGCCTCTAACAGCACAGCGCCTTCTTCCCTTCACTCGTTCACAGGACCAGTTACCACACACCGAGTGCCTGATGTCGGCCAACCTTCGTGCCAGGGTCTGGGGACGGGACAGGCCCCCTTCTACTCTAGGAAGATCCGTCCAGCAGGGAGGGCACTTGCCTTGCAACGAACGAGGTTGACCTGGGTTTGATCGCCTGCACCCCCGTGTTCCCCTGAGGCCAGCCAGGAGTGATCCCCGAGTGCTGAGCCAGGAGTCAAGCAAGGCCTGAGACTGCTCACTGCTGGGTATGGTCAAACCAACTAGCAAACAGACATCTCTATTCTGAGGGAGCTGAGATTCAGGGGAGGGAGACAGGGAGAGAGGGAGAGGGAGAGAGAAGGAGAGAGTGAGACGGGGGGGGGGGGGGGGGGGGACGGGGGGCGGGGAGAGGGAGAGACAGACAGACCGACAGACCCAGGCTTCCGGATCGAGTGACAGGCCAGGGTCTCCAACAGTCTGGTCACATGCGTGCACGCACACACACTCCCATGCGTGCACACACACACTCACACACAGATGCACACACCCGCCCCAGGTCCGTGATCCTCTTTGGGCCCAAGATCTCGGCGCAGAACCCAGGTAAGTCCCTGGCCCCGGGCCCTCCCCTCCCCAGCCGGCCGCAGCCCTCACCGACGCCACAGGTCCCCCCCGTCCCCCGCCACCCCCGGCCCCACACTCACCGACGCCCAGCATGACGAGCGGCGTGTGCTCCCAGCGCGCCAGCCACAGCAGATGCGCCAGGTTGTGGGCGATGAGGCCGAAGCACAGAAGCACGCAGCACCACTCCTGGACACGCTTGGCTGCAGGGAGAGCGGCGAGGGGGCGTGTGAGCGGGCAGGAGGGGAGGCCGGGCCCTTGTCGCTCTCCTGCCTCCCCGCCTCCCCTTCGTGTGCAGTCACAGCGGCGGCGCTCAGGGCTTGCGCCCCTGCACTCAGGGGTCACTCGGTGGGCTGGGGGACCCCGCCGGGGGGGGGGGGCTGGGAATCACACCCGCACCAGCCCCGGGCCAGGCAAGCATCCTGCCCATTGGGCTGTCGCTCTGGCCGCTCTACCTTTCCCTGGCCGCAGGCTAAGAGGGTCCTGAGCCCCTGGAACCGGGGCGGCCAGGTGGGGGCTGGCACCTCAGTCTCTGGGCCCGGGACCTGGGTGTCCCAGAAGGGTGACCCACAGCTGGGCTTCGGTGGACGCCTGCTGAGAAGCCGAGCCCCCTCCCATGCCCTCCTGGCTTGATCACAAAGGCCCCCACGATTTCCTAAAGCCGGGCACCAGGGCAGAGCGGAGGGGCTCCTCCATGGCCCCAGACCACCAGGGCCCGCAGGACAGGACTGAGGACCCTAGTCTGACCCCTCACAGCGCCCCACAGACACGGCCCCACGCCATCAGCTCCTCCTGTGACTGCCCAGCCTGGAGCTGGGGGCCTCAGAACACGGAACCTAGAACGCTCGGGCCCAGGGTTCTGGTTCTTGCCCTGCTGCTCGGTGAGGCATCAGGTGCTCATGGGGGGGGGGGGGGGTCCAAGCCTTGGGACCAAGCCCACCGCTGCCGACGCCGGCCCACCGTCTCCGGCCTCTGAGGGGCTGCTGCAAGCCCAGCCCAGCCCAGCCTGGTAAGGAGGAATGCGTATGCGTGTGTACCTGTGTATGTGTGTGCATGTGCACGCGTGTTATATGTGCACGTGTGTGAGCTTCGTGTGCATGTGCAGAAGTGCATGTGTGTTGCACGTGCATATATGCGTGTGCTGCATAGGCATGTATGTGTGTGTACACGTGGAATGGGGGGCCCAGAGGGGGTGTCCCTATTTCCTCTCCTGTCACATGGAGCTAAGGCCAGGGCACGGCTCTGTCCCCTGCGGTGAGGGGGGGAATGAGCGGGTGGTGGAAAGTCCACTCGCCCAGCACCAGCCACAGCCCAAGCCACTCGCCCAGGCTGACCCGCCTCTGGCCCCACAAGATTCTCAAGAATTCGATCCTGGAACCCAGACATTCCCGCTCTTCTCCCTTTGCTCACTCTGCTCCAGCCCACCGGCTTCTGGGGTTCCTGGTATATTCTGTGTGCCCTCCAGGCCTGGGTCCACCCCAGGGCCTTTGCACCTGCTGTTCTGACCCACTTCTCCAATAGGAGAAAGGTCTGCCCCCGCTCCTGCTGTCCAGGTCTGTCTGCCACCACTGAGGGCCCTCTGTGATGGCCCCTTCCCCCCACCATTTCACTTTCCCCCTGTCCTGCTCTATGTTTGTTCCAGAACTCTCAACAACACGGGCCAAGCCAGACATTCCCTTTGTTCACCGGGTAACTAAAACACCAGCTCCACTTCCCTGTCTCGGTCACTGCTTTGTCCCCTGGGTCTTGCACGGGAACTGGGACAGAAGTGCTCAATCTGAAGAGCCTGGTCCCTTCATTTCCTAGGTCAGGCCCGGAGAGGTCACAGCTGATCTCTCAAGGCCACATTGGGGAGGGGGGGGACAGGCAAAGGGAACTGGAGACATTTGGAGGAACCCGCCCGGCAAGTCTCTAGGGTGCAGATTCACGGAGATAAAGTCCACCTGCCGCCTGGGTCAGGCCTGCCTGCACGGACAGTTTTGGAAGCTGGATGTGGCCCCAGGACCCTTGGGAAAAGCAAAGGCCAAAAGTGGACAAAGATGCCATTGTGCCCGGGGGCGGGGCACAGAGTGGCCAGTTCCCCACGAGGGCCGGGTAGGTTTGGGTGAAAGGGGAGGGTGGGGCCGGCTCCCAGGAAACCCAGGTAGGGTCTGGGTGAAAGGGGGAGCTCTTTCTTTCTTGGGGGGAGGGGCCACCCCCAGCCATGCTCAGCAGTTCCTCCTGGCTCTGCACTCAGAAATCACTCCTGGCGGTGCTGGGGGTCGAACCCGGGTCAGCTGTGTGCAGGGCAGGGTCAAGGACTTCTTTTTTTCTTTTTGGGTCACACCTGGCGATGCACAGGGGTTACTCCTAGTTCTGCACTCAGGAATCACCCCTGGCGGTATTGAGGGGACCCTATGGGATGCTGGGAGTCGAACCCGGGTTGGCCGCGTGCAAGGCAAATGCCCTCCCCGCTGTGCTATCACTCTAGCCCCATAAAGGACTTTCTTGAATGGGCAGAGCTGGCCCCCAAGGAAAGATGTTCTGTATTTGCAGGTGGTGGGTGGGAGGAGCAGAGCGGTCAAGGGCGTGTGGGTCAGGCTGGGGACGGGCACTGCGCAGAGGTGAGGGGCCTCCGCTCCCGCCTCCAGTCGCACAGACCAGCCTTCCCGTGAGCCCAGCCTCAACGGAAGGAAGCAAAGGGTGGGAGGGGAGGGCAGCTGGGCTGCCTGAGGAAAGCGAGGCCGCACAGCACAGACGAGCAGCAGGGACCAGGGGGTGCCCAGCCCGCTCTGCCCGAGGGAGCCCCCGGGGAGTCTGGGGAACAGGCAGAGAAGAGACAGTAAAAGTCAGGTGGCCCAGACAGGCTGCAAAGCCCCAGGCTGAGACAGACAGACAGACGTGTCAGGCTGCTGGGTAGGAAGAAAGTGACAAGGGTCCAAGGTCGGGCAGAGATGGGGAGCGACCCGAGGCTGGCTGGGGTAGGAACCCAAAGGTGGGAGAGGACCCAGGCCCATCCCGGGCAGGACTGTGCAGTCCACCGAGAGCCAGGATGCCCAAATGTTTGGCCAGACAAAGCCCGTGTGTCAGCTGGGCCAGGCATAGAGGACCGCCTCAGCGTCCCACCTCCTCATCACCTGATTCTGCCCACCTCCTCATCACCTGATTCTGGAGTTCTCCAGCACACTTCCTTAACCCCTTGGGGGCTGTTTAGCCTCCTGGGGTCAGGCCATGGGATTTCTGGGTGCCAGCAGAAGTCAGGGCGGGCATTGGGGGTGATTCAGGCAGCCTGAGTAACAGACTCAAGGAAAGAAGGCCTTGGTCTAAGGCCATCTGGGGAATGAGCCACCATGCCAGGCCAGCCAGCCTGGGGCCTCGGGGTGGGGACTGAGTCTGCCAAGAGCGAGTTGGGGTGTGTGTCATAGGGGAGCTTAACCCGGGGCATTACTCAGCCTACCCCATCTGGGAATCCCCAACATCGGGGGTCGTGGACGCACCCTGCCACTGCTTGAGGGTGCTGGAGGGGGTGGTGTCGACTGAGGGAGGGGTTGGGGGGAAGAGTTGGGGTTCCCAGAGCACAGCGGACTGACACGCCCAGGCTTGGCAGCTGAGCTCACGTTTGCAGCTCAGGGGCCTGGCCACGTGCAAATGGAACCCCAGAACGTACGTTTGGGAAGGGGGGGTGGACGTGTGGAACGGAGTGGGGCTTTCAGGAGCTGAGGGCGGTGCGCGTAGCTGAAAAGCATCTCGAGTTTATGAGCTTACGACTGGGTCCTGGAGTGTGTCTGAGTGTGGGGGGAGGGGGTGTCCCGAGTCTAGGGGCGCCGCAGTCTGGGACCCTCTCCCGGTGGCTTAGATCCGGATCCGAGGGGGTGATGGGGGCGCTACTTCCAGCCCGGGCGCCCAGCGGGCCAACCCTTCATCTCGGGCGACCTTCGCACCCAGAAAGTTCAGGGTTTTGGGGGGAGTTGAAGGCTGGGGGGGCTTCTTCTGGCTTGGGTTCGGAAGGGGCGCTGGGGAGGGGGTGGGGGTCCCCGGACTGGGGGGGGGGGAGGTGGGGAGGGGCGCAATTTGCAAGTTAGAACCCGAGGCGGAAGTTCTGCATCGGGGGGCCTGGGGCAGGGGTTCCGACCCGGCGGAGCGGAGCGGGGCGCGGGGCGGGGGGATGGGGGAGGGGGGTCCCGGCTTGCAGGCCCGGAGGGGGCGCCCCGGACGTCCTACCTGGCGAGTAGAGCGCGGCCAGCTCGCGGGCCCCGGCGTGCTGCGCGCCCCAGCGCCGGCAGGACGCCGCCTCGTCCTCGTCCAGCTCCGGCGACGGGCCCGGCGCGACCTCGCTGCCCGCCATGGCCATTCGCCCGGCGCGCCCCGAGCGCGGTGCAGGCGGCGGCGGCGGCGGCGGCGGCGGCGGGGCCGCGGAACCGCGGCGCGATCACGCCGCCCAATGACCGCCCGGCGCCGGGGGCCTCGCCCGGCCGCGCGTCACAGCCAATCGCGGGCCGCGCCGGGCGGCGCCAGCCAATCAGCGGCCGCGGCGCCGCAGCCAACCGCCGCGCGCCGGGGGCCGGACCGCAGCTGGGCACCGCTGGGCGCGTCCGGGCGGGCCCCGCGCGCGCGCGCGCCGCCGACCCCCGCGCCCAGCCGCGGCGGCGGACCGGCGGGCGCCGCGAACGGGCCCGGGGCCGGCCCGCGGGGGCCCCGCGAGTGGACATGACGCTTGCACGCGACGTGAGGCGCCCGCGGGGTGCAGGAGGGAGGTGACCCCGCGGCCGGCCCCCGGGGCGGGGTTGGGGGGGGGGACTCCGAAGAGCGCGTCCACGCTGGGCCCCCTGGACACCCCCTTCCCCCCCTTCGAAGACCCGGGGCCGCGTCCGCCCCAGCCCGGTGCCGGCTCGTGCTCTGCGCCCGGGCAGGGGTTGGGGGTGGAGGAACGCGGAGCCCACCCCCCATCCCTCGTCTCCCCGGCTGGAGAAACGGAGGGAAACGCCCCCGGCCAGGCCCCGAAGGGTCACGGAGCGGTTCCCGGCGGCCCCGCGCCCGGCCAGGGAGCGTCCAGGCCCGCACCGAGCTGTCCCCGGCGCGCCCTGGGCATCCGCCGCGCAGCGTCGCCGCCTCGTCACTATGACAGCAGCCGTGACCCGGGCGGTGAACAGTGCAGCCCGGGTTCCCCACCCAGCCCCCTCCCCCCCCCAAAAAAAAAGAATAACAAGCCCCGGGGTGTGGGGACCCAACCCCCAGCACAGCGGAACCCGAGCACCACGCTGTCACCACAAGGGCACAAGAAGGGACAGTGGAAGGAACGAGTCCGCTTCTCCTCCCAACTGGGGAAGTGACCAGGGCAGCGCTCACCGCAGGCCTCGCTGACTACAAAGTACACAATTGCTCATTCTTACAGTGTAACCAGGACGGGGTTGCCCCGGGGGCCGGGCACACCCAAGCGAGAGGGAGGGGAGTAGGTGGGGGGGGGCGGACGGAGGCCCCGCTACACCCCTCTGAGGTTCGGGCCTGCCCTGGACCACCCAACTGCCAGGAGAAGCCAGCCGGGCTCCCTTTCCCCAGCAGACCCCTGGCCCCAGCCAGCCCCGAACTTGGCCCCCCTCCCCCCTCGGAGCGCCAACGCTGGTGAATTCTGTAGGAACTGAGTGTTCCCGTAGCGCTTGGAAACTGCACGCTGAGATTTTCAAGGCCGGCAGGGGCCCAGGTGGGGCTGGATCTCACTCAGGGCTCTGGGAGACGGCTGCCCCCGACGTCAGCGGGTGTCTGGGACCTCCAGGCGGTCTGGGGGGCCTTATCCAGGGGAGTCCTGCTGGCCAGCCGAGGGGGACAAACAGACCCCAGAGGTCGGCCGTCCCCCCTTCCCCCCCAAACACTTGAAGTGCCAGTTTGGCTCACACACTGCTGAAGAGAGGTAGGAAACTGGGAGAGCGCCCCCGGATGGTCGGATGGAGAAGTGGCCTTTGCACCATCTTTTTTAAAATTTATTAGCCAATCTCGGTAGCTTGCCGGGAGTATCTCGCCCTCCTGGCAAAGCCTGGCGAGCTCCCCGGGACGTATTAGATATGCCAAACACAGTAGCAAATCTCACAATGTTACTGGACCTGCTTGAGCAAATCGATGAACAACGGGAGGACAGTGCTACAGATAGTTTCATGAAGCTTGGTTCATAGATTAGTGAATCACCGTGGGGTACAGTGACAGACTCACAAAGACCTTCGTGCTTGCGTTTCAGTCATACGATGGTCGAGTACCCATCCCTCCACCAGGGCCCATTCTCCACCACCAAGGGTCCCAGCATCCCTCCCCCGACCCCCACCCCGTCCCCGTCACCCCGCCCCGCCTCTGTGGCAGGGCATTCCCTTTTGCTCTCTCTCTCCCTTTGGGTGTTGTGGTTCATTTGCACCATCTTAACCGAGGAGAGGGAGTTGGTGGCAAAGTGCCACGCTGGGCACATAGCTAGTCTGACGGGCTGGGGGAGGGGACACGAAGGTCGAGTCCAGGACAACTCAGAGGTCACCCAGGGTCCAGGAGAGAGGCAGGGTGGGGAGTGGGGAAGGTGGGCTGGGGTCTGGCTTCTACTTGATGCTTATTTAGGAGTCGTTTCTGCTTCCCTCTCTGACCCCGCAAAGGGGTCCCAGCTCAGAGGCGGTGGTGTTCCGGCTCTTGGGCGGGGTGTGTAACTCAGGGGCAGAGTGCTCGGGCATCACGCCTGGCCCTGTTCAGGGCCCCTCTGCGGTGCAGGACACCCAGCTGGGCTCAGCGGTGTTCCGAGGTAAGCACCTGGACTCCTGGGCTTCCTTCAGGCCCGAGTTTTTACTGTCGAAGAAAATTGTCCCTACGTGTCCTCTGACTGTTTGTCCTTCGAGTCTCTTCTTATCTCTTTGCTAATACCTTATAGCTTTATTGTGCTCCACCTCGAGGCAGGAGCATGATTCATCGGACTGGTGGCCTGTGGCCAGCTCCTTGGGTTGTCCCCTTTGGAGGTTATAAACCATATTCTCATTCACGTGCACACACGGTGCTTACGGGAGCAGCCCCCCTCCCCCCACAGTGCCTCCTGGGAGTAACTCTAGAGCCCTGTTGAGTGTCACCCCCAAACATAGACCCAAACCAAAGACAAAGAAATGTGAAGCCATTAAACCGGGCCGAGATCTCCCCAGAGGAATCGCATGGAGACACAGTGCCATGCAATAAGCAAAGGGTCTTTACTGGCCAGCTCGAGCTAGGGCCCTCCTCCGGCCCACCGACACGGTGGCAGCCTTCTCGGGTCGAGGGGCCCGGAGCCTCAAAAGTGAGGGGCTTTTATACCATGACATGATATATAACAGGGAGTTCCTGAGGACCACCCTTTTGGCCACAGTCTGAGGGGCTTTCCGCGACTTGTACTTAGCTGGTTGGTTATATGTTGGAGTTCCACAAGGGTTGTGTAAGAGTCACATAAGGGTTATATAGGGGGGGTTTCCCTACCTGCATCTGATTGGTCACCCTTAGTTGACCTCACCATGGCTATCTCGCCGGGGAATCATGACCTCAATTCCAGGTATCTGTGCCCAATCCCAGGAATTCTGGAACCGAAGGCCTAGCTTCTTCTGGCTTCTTTAAGAGCCTGTCATGGCTCTGCCTTTGCGTCTCTCTCTCTCAGAATCAGACAGTGGCGTTAGTTCTCGGGATAGGCTCCCTCTGCCTGCGGGTGGGAATGGACTGGGGAGGGGGGAGGGGGGAGGGGGGAGGTGACCACATCTATGCTGGGTAATTGTCCCCTGCAGTGCCCAGGGATCACCTGGACCTGAGGTGGGTTCCCGGCCGCCTGCCAGCAAAGAGCCCTCTCAGCGTTCTGGGCTGGGCTTTGCTGGTGGACGGGGGGGGGTGGGGGGGGGGGGGTGGTGGGGGGGGGGGGGTGGTGGGTCTGAGGGAGAGAGAGACACAGGCTGACTCAGAAACTCTGTGGGCTGGCGCTGGAGCGATAGCATAGCGGGGAGGGCGTGTGCCTTGCACGCGGCCAACCCGGGTTCGATCCCCAGCATCCCAAGGGTCCCCTGAGCACCGCCAGGAGTGATTCCTGAGTGCAGAGCCAGGAGGAACCCCTGAGCATCACTGGGTGTGATTCAAAAAGAAAAAAACAAAAACAACTCCCTGGGGCCAGAGCGATACCACAAGGCGAGGACATGTGTTTTGGTTTTCAATCACTGAAGAAAGAAGCCCCGGGCAAGGCTGGAGTCTGGCTGGAGGGAAGAGGCACCAGGGTTGGGCCAGGCCTGGGCTGTGGCAGGGCAGCTGGGACCCTGCCGCGAGACAGACCCAGCAGCTGCCGGAGGTCCCCAACCCAATGTGCCGTGTCCCCTAGGGTGACGTCCAAGTCATTGGCGGGTGTTTAGGGGGTAGACTTTTTGGGGCCACTCTGGACTCGGCACTCAAGCCACAAACTGGTGGTGTTTGGGGGGGGGGAGGGTGATGCAAGGCTGCGGCATGAGCCCTCGTTCGCAGGGCTGGAACCTCCTTTCCATCTCTCCACGCCACTTCTGGGGGCCGCGCCTGGCCCCCAAACCCACAAACCCAGTGCCACACCAGTGCTCAGGTTTGAACTGGGATCGGCCACGGGCCAGGCAAGCGCCTTCATGCCCGCGATATTTCCTCGCCCTCTTGGACATTTGGTTTAGTTGAAATTCTCATTATTTTGGGTTCGGGTAAACACACTAGCTGGCAGGGCGGCCCCATGACCCCCCCCCCCGCCCCGCCCCCTTCACAGCTAGAGACTCAGGAGGGGTGGTCCAGTAGCTCCCCCCGACCTCCCCCACTCTATTTGCAGTGTCAGAGAGCAAATCCAGGGTCTCACCTGGCGGCAGGTGTTCTGAGCTGCCTGACTCCCTTGTAGTCAGTCTACAGATCCCTTTCCTGCCCGGCACCCGCCCAGCTCTGCCTCCCCTCAGAGTACCCTAACTCTGTCATCAGCACCTCCGGTCTGGCTTTATTTTTATTTTGTTTGTTTGTTTGTTTTGCTTTTTGGGTCACACCCAGTGATGCTCAGGGGCCACTCCTGGCTCTGCACTCAGGAATGACTCCTGGCGGTGCTCAGGAGACCCTTTGGGATGCTGGGAATCGAACCCGGGTCAGCCGCGTGCAAGGCAAACGCCCTCCCCGCTGTGCTATCACTCCAGCCCCTCAGGTCTCGCTTTGTCTGGTCGTTAATTGTACAACCCCCTCCGTTGTGGTGGGGAAAGCAACCCAACATTTGTCTTTTTTCTTTTTCGTCACATGACTCCCTCCAGCGTCTCCCGTGCTGCTGGGACTGGCAGCTCTCCGCCCTCTGGGCGTGGGAAAGTGTCCCCTAGTCTCCGTGTGCCACGTCTCTGACCGTGGCTTTTGTTTTGGTTTCACGCCCAGTGAACGCCGGGGCAGATGCGCCTTTTCTTTTGCTTTTGGGCTTTGACCTACACT